TTTTTTAAACCCCAGTGAAACAGATACTTACAAGAGCCGCTCGGCCATTTGTGATGGTCCCCACCTGGGACTCCATGGATACTCGGTTATGCTAGGTGATTTGACAGGAATGCCCTGGGAATTAAAGTGCTGCGAAACAAATCCCAAGTCAATGTTTCACACTTTCACCTAATTCTAGATGCAACAAAAGGTTTGCTTTTATAATCTGGGAAATAAATCAAAAGAGGATAAATATAATTTCGTCGATAAACTGAGTTTCTGTAAGATTACGGTAAACATCATGTGTAATTTAACCTGATCTTTTTATACGAAAGCAATGGGGAGAATTATGAGTGTCAAACTACAACTACAAGCTAGTAATAAGATCAGAAAATCCAAACCTGAGAACTCTGAAGCATTAAAGCTGGTTGCTGCTTTGGGAACTGAAGTGAGATGGAAAAGTGGACCTGACATGACAGGATTGTATGATTTAGAACTAGCTAAAAATAATAAGTCACACTAGTAAAAATCACCGTCGGTGTAGAATAAAGTAGTCGATTTTTCGATTGAAACATTAACTGGAAATGCATCACAACAATGTCCATTAAAATTCAAAAGAAAGGGGAGAGAGAGATTGCACATAGAGAGCATGCGTATTGTAATGTGTATTCTAACAAGTCTATTAACCATCAGCCAAAGCTTATGCAAAAGATAACAGCCAACGAGTATGGACATCAAAATGAGTTTGATCAAGAATAATAACTGATACAAGGAAATCCCAGATGCCCACGACCTAAGACCGGTTATTCCTCATGAAACAAAAGGCAGATACTCCACGACAGAAATGAACAGTTTCAGCACGATATGGCCATGAAAGTTTGGTAACGTTTCCCCAAATGCATTACAAATAAAAGCAGATACTTCATAAAGTGCAAACAGATATCACCTACCAGAAAATTGAATACCCCAGAAGAAGCCAAAAAGGTCGCCCTCCTGCAATATACCTGGAAATACAAAATGTAGACCTAAGCATTTTTTTTATCATATAAAATATATGATACTAAGAAGATGAAAACCGAATCCTCAAGAGTTCAACTGCTCAAGTGAAGAGTGCGCACCGGATCAGCTTCTATTGGTCTTCCAAAGAGAGGTGCCAATGCTGAGATAAACTTCCTTCTTGTTTCAACTGACGTGACTGCATCTTTCATCTGTCAAAATACAAAGTGAACCATTATAACAGAGATCTAAACAACCCGCCTCTGTTATTGATTAATTTAAATGATTAAGTTGGGAGCATAAATGAACAAGAAACACAGCAAAACCTGCGATCCTAGCATCTCCTCCAAAATTGGAAGATACTCAGCTATACACCTATAGAGGAATACAGATCAGATAGAAAATGAAAATACATAGGCTTAACCAATTTAAAAGTCCAATGTAGTAAACCAATTGAACAAAACTAATCAAAAGAGACAAATTTGACCAGAAACATATATTCATACTTACATCCCATCCGACCAAGGAGGAAGTCTAAAATCTTCAATAGAAAATAAAGCTTTCAACTCTGGAGTAGAAATCAACTTCGGACGTGCGGGTGGAGCAGTGGAATACTTTTTACCAACCGGAAACACAATCTGCAAACATTACAAAGAGGATGTAGCGAAATACGAGGGATGGCTTGATAGAGAAAATGGAAAATAACACAACAAATATGAGAATAAAAAAGCAGAACTCATATAGAGAAAATCGATATATAGTTGATGCAAATCAGAACTCCAAAGTAATGTGATAAGCATTGAATGGAATTCTATAAGTGAATGTGCGGTTTGAAAGAATTTTATGGAATGAACAGATGTAACACTCAAAGTGCTCGTGTTTTCTTCCAAACCACACATTCACTTATAGAATTCCATTCAGTGCTTATCAACCTGAACACACAAAATGCTAAAGCAGGTTGCCAATTATTTAAATTCGATTATGAATAGTGATTCAAACGTCACTAGACAAGGCCAGTCTGACACCTGCTCCTTACATATCCACCTATAATAATCGTGTGCCAATGTGTTTCTCAGCAGCATAATCAAGGTATTGGACCTTCTTTTGATTTTTTCTTTTAACCAACCTGCAAGTAAATCTTCTGTGGATGTCTCCATGTGGATCCAGCAACCAATTTATACAAATCCTTGTCCAACAAAGGAATCGCAAATCTAACCTCTTCAGGCTACACTAAAATCAAATGGCCAAATAACCAACAGAGAAGTAAGATTAGATATCAATTTGCATACTTCTAAATTGTTAGATGGGGCCCCCAAACAGGCTTATCAACAATAGTTACCTTCTCAGTGCCTGAACTCAAATACATTTCCATTCCCTGAATATTTAGAAATTAAAAACTTGTCAAGAAAAAGAGCACCTCAGAGTTCCGCAGAAAACAATAACGCAGATGGAAAGAAAATGTGTGAAAGCACAAGTTTCAGCAATTCATAATTGGTTTCTTCCTTCCTATGCATATATCTTAAAATCTAAGATATCATATTAAAATAACATCAGACAACAAAATTACTCTCTTTTGCACATTGAATTGAAGACATCAGAATATCTGAAATACCAAGATGACCTATGGATTCAGAAAATCTTATACCCTTAATCCCTTATTGATACTAGTAACATCCAATATATATCCAACCAAATACATTAGAATTTTAAACATATCTGCAAAATATGTTCCACCACATAATTGGAAACAATGTCGATATTTTTCGAAGTGAGCTTCTCCCTTTAAATATCTTATTCACAATGAAATTCCAAATAAGTGAAGGACATGTAGTTACAATTTTAAAATTACACATCTATTAGCACAATGTTTCGAATACGGATCACCACCTAGAATGACCAAAAAAAAAAGACCCGATTATGCATCAGGAAATAGAACAACAAGCTTCTATTGATTAGCCCATCTTTTTTTTTTTTAATATATTGAAACATCATTCAAACACTAACCTCTCTTGGGAGCATAGTACTAAGTTCAAACTTTAATCTCTCATCATCAACCTTTCCGATCCGCTGTCTCTGATACGCCATATATGCATTCCTAGAACATAATAACGTAACCGAAAAAACAAACAGTCAGTGCCAACACCATCAATTATGTCAAGTAATTCTTCTTAATAGAACCCAATACTGCACTCATGTACGGTGAAAAAATATCACCACCTAAGCTCGACAATAAGAGACAACAAACGAGATGGATCCTTGCTGTTCCAATCGGCCAAACTATTCTGAGAGGATTTTCCAGTGCCACCAGAATAAGGCTGGAAACTTTCATCTTCGGGTCCAAAAATTACATCCGGAGCCGCCAGAGGATACATTGCATTGTATATAACATCCCCTAATCCCATTCAAAATTCCGAATTAAAATTGCATAAAAAAGATGATAAAATCCAAAAATAGACTGAAAATGAAAATAAGATCCATATATGAACACTGACATCTGATATAGTCCAGACAAAACGGGATGACCAAAGTAAAGCGATCGAGCAAGCTAGGGTTTTTGCAGCCGGACCAAATTTGCTCCACCTGCAATTTTTTTTTCCCATTTTGAATCAAAATGAAAATCCTAGCCTCAGGGAACCAAATATTTTTAGCTACCATTCGCAAAACAAAGATTTAAGCGAACCATTTCAAACAATACATGCAAGCACGAATATACAGATTTCGGGGCAGTGAAATGCAATACCTTGACAGGGAAAGGACAGTTGTTGAGGAGATAGTTAATTTGGGCATTGATGAGCGGCGGCACGGTGTCGATCGCCATAGCTGGTGGTGGTTTGAGCTAATCAGTGGACAGTGAGACCGATAGAGGTTTTGAGTTGAGCTTTAAAGTTTGAACCCCAAGACAAGAGCACGTGGAAGACGAACCAGTTGAAATGGGCCGATACAGTTTGATTTGGGCCCCGTAAATTAGTGCTCGCAGCGGTGATTTGTGCATTGCATTGGATCCATTGCTCTTTACGAATTTATTCGGGAAAGGCCCGCCTGCGGACTTTTGCTTCAAATCCAATACATGCACAATTAATTCCATAAATTTGGGCTCAGGTCTATATTGGACCGAAAATGGACTGCCATGGAACACCCATTTGTTCATAAAAATACTCTAATATCATAAAAATAAAATATAAAAAACATCAAAGCACTAAAATAATGTAATAAATAAATAAGTCAAAAAATATATAAGTGCGATAAAATTAAGAATATAAAAATACACTAATATATATTTTTCTCTGCTCAGCCTACACAATTCAACCTTACAATCCAATTTATCTATATTCTCAACTCAACTCAACCTAAATATTTATTTTATTTTAATTTATTTAAAATTATAATGTGTTTCAAAAAGTGGTATTTATTTGTAGAATGAAAAAATATGAATTCTAGTATTTTTCTATTTTACTTTTAAACCAAAAAGATATATATACTTGTGCAATAAAAATGAAACAAATATCTCAT